CGGGGCCGTTCTTTCCATGAAGTCTAGCGCTGAGACATGCATTGCCTTGCACGGTTGCTAAGTAGAGGGCAGAGCTGCAGTTGTGTGAACAATGAAGGACACATTCACTATAGTATAGTCCACAGATACTGTGAATAACGTGAAGGGAAAACATAAAAAAATAAATCTTGAGCTATAAGGTTCAGTCAGTTTAATGTCTTTACTGTATCGTTTTCCGCTCTTAATTGTGAAGCCTAGTAGACAAAATGTAAATTGGGTACCAAAGTTACTAAAGGTTCACCAAAACAAACACGGTAAATGGGATTGACTTCATTTTTTCACACAATGTTACTAACGAATATGTCATTATTACAAGGTTTAACAAGTTCAAAACTTCTACTTGGTTTTGAATAAAAGATGACTCCTTTCCATTTTTGCAATTTTGTTTTACTCGCCCTGTACTTTCTGATTCGCAACACACGTTTTTTTTTTTTTTTTTTGGGTTGTTTTTGGTTGTTTTTTTGGTGGTTTTTTTTCTGTAACGCCCAAACTGCCCGAGCATTCTATGGTTTATGATCCATCAAGGAATTGATTTAATGTGAGACAGCGTTAGGAAGGTGGTAACGGGTTAAACGTGTCGTATTATTTGCTTATTAGTTTTCTAATTTACCTACTTTGGATTTAATAATTGAATATGGTGAATGTACACAGGTATAATTAACATTATATTAGCTAAGTGTTAATGTATAACTTGATTTAAATGGTAAAGGTTTTCATTTTTTTATCGCAGTTGTAAGCGGACTTTTTCAGTAATGTGAAGCGATTGTAGTCTTGAAATTAGAAATTATATAACATATTAAGCATTGAAAGACGTATCATTACAAAAGCAAATATTCTTGAATACAATATTACGGTATAATTTAACTACTATATTGGAAGCGGTGAAGGTTTTCATTTTATTAAATTTTGAAGTGAACGAAACTTTATATGTGTTACTCAAATGGTATCGTATCTGAAATCAGGGTGAAACACATCACCATCAATACAAATGAGTGCTTTGAAGCCACAGTGTAAGGTTTGATTATGAGCTCAATACTGTTTAGGATTAGCCTATAAACCCAAATTTGAAAAAGCAGGAAACTCGTTCAAAAACAGTCCGGATATATCAAAACGTTGGTATCAAACATTGCATTACAATACATTGTCATCAAATGAGCAATAACACAATAAAAGTATTCGCACTTCTCTATAAATAAAGTAATAAAAAGTAAAAACTGGTGGGCGAATGGTAAATGCTAAATCTGTGCTGTATGTCTGTGCTGTTGTCATTCACTTATTTTTCCCCGTTAGCCCATTTGTCTCCATGCGAAAAAAAAAATGTTTCGCACTAAAGTATAGACCGAAAGCACAATGCCAGTAAGTTTTCGACCATGCTCACGAGTATTCGATATCTAGAATCGAACTTTTTTTGTCAAATAGCGAGTCGAACGGTCATTCAGGACGACGAAAAGAGCAGTGATTTGAAGTACGGTTTTTTTCTTGAAATTGCATATGCATTCGAGTAAGATGTATATGAAATTATTTCTGTGTTATCGAGGAGTGGTAGAACGTTTGATTTTTTCAATCAAAAATGATTTCGAAATAAAAAAAATTGACGGAAGTTGAAGAGGTAAATTGGTGGATTCCATTTCCAAATCGTCGGAAAGCTTCCTAAAATTCCACTTTATTATTACTTAAAGTTATCATATCCTTTACAAATCCCCTTAAACTTTGAAATTAATTGTGTTTTCTTTCTTTCAACCAATGTAACTGACTGGATTGTTCTCGTCTTCGATAAAAGTGTCATTTTTCGTTCGTCAAACTTAACCGCAGTGCGTCGTCTGCTAGCGGGGAAAACCGTCATCGTCTGCAATTTATTGCCGTGCGCATGCGCGTGCATAATGACCATTCTTATGGGCCGTGAACATACGTGACCATGCTGTATTTGTATAGTCCTAAATTCACAAAGCAACGCCCCAGGTGCATTCTGCGCGACATCACGCAGTACACGCGACGCAAGACGCGCTCGCCAATCTCCATAAAAGGAGTTGTTTACATCTTACTTGCAAGCTGGACACTGCATTGTTTAGCTAGAGAAAAAAAAAACAGGTTTTTTTTGACCGAAAAGGTACTTATGATTTGGAATACAAATGTTCTTGGTCGGCATTAATCACTCTGTGTAAGACCGCTTGGAGTCTGGGTGCTGATAATTACCCTCGCCTTCCGCTTGGGTAATTATCAGGACCCAGACTCCAAGCGGTCTTTAGACGGGGTGATTAAAACTTTTGAAGCACACATTTATTCCCTTATTAAAGATCAGCTATTCTCGATATTTTCTTTTGAGCCACATTACCACATTTTTCTTGTACCCTATCTTTCTTTAAATGAAGGTAGGAAACGTAATTCTGCTATTAAAACGTTATGTGTTTCTTTTTGTATCTTACCCGTGATCCTCCCCGCTTGCCACGTCATTTGCCAGGCATGCTTAATTCTACACGGTGTTAGTTTATCTCCTATTCGTGTGAGTGCAGCTAAGCAAGTCTACAGGCACGCTCAGCCATATCACCAGATAATGAAGTAACAGTTAAAATTTGATGTCACGCTGTCGATCAGATGGCGAAATCGGCTAACAATGTACACATTATGCTTAAAACGTCTGCAGGCAGCGGGCGGATGCGAGTTAAAGTGGCGCTTGCTATTCAACGAATCGTCATATGATGCGTCCATAGTTAAATATTAAACCCATTAATAAAAACTAGTTGACTGCATTCACATCGCACAGGTTATGAACCGTATCATTGACCTTAACCTTTACAGACATTGTTCAATTAAGCTCACCAGATGCATCTACGTGCGTACGGTTGTGGCCCAGTAACTGGGTCATATTGGCCACGATATCAAATTATATTTCCTTCAAAGTGAGAGAGTTTATGGAAACTGAAGCCCTGGGACTTACTCTTGAGGTTATGAACCCCCAAAATTTCTGGGTTGAGTTCAGGGATAAAACTGACTCATTTCACATTCTGCGTAAGAACATTTGGGCTGTTTTGGGTTATAAAATGTCGTTGTAAATTACCAAAGAAGAGCGTCACCGCTTGGCAGGATTCAGAAGCGCGTAGTTTTGCAAACCAGCAGCCGATCGGAGAGTCAACAGCATTTGTTTTCTTTCCGATTAGAGTTTACAGCATGTGGTTTACACTGTCATTGGAATGATTGGTACCTAATTATGAGAGGAATTATTATTATTACATGTTAATTCCCGTTATTCCCGTTAGATGTCCTACATTTCTGAGTTTCGCATTATAAATCTGATCGGGTTGATAACTTATAATAGTAAGAACCAACATTCAAAGATTAATACGTTGCATTATTATTACTGTGCAGTCTACTGTACAGTTCTCATGTTATGAGGTTATGAATATTTAATGAGGCAATATTGTGACCACCAAATCTCTACAATACAATAAGTTATGATTCCAGTTCTTTGCACATTTACTCCTATGGACTGAAAATGCACCGCCTGAAATGTCAAGGTCATGTGACCCTTACTAATGGGTGTTTCGCAAGTGCACCGATTAAAGATTTAATTTCAATTTTAATAACTGCAAACTTCTTGAAAACAATCTTTACATGTTAATCATTTGGTATGTCCATTAGACATTCAAAAACATGTTGGGAACAACTCACTCCGTGGTTGTTCTGTTACAACCACAATCTCTAGTTCATCATTATCGTTGACAATTTATAAAGTGCGGTCAGTATACTGCGTCCTCTCTTGTTTTTTTTTTTTTTGACGCAATAAAAAATCATCATTTTCTCTAAACAAGACAGTGTTGCTTTTGACATGGTCCAAATTGGTAATAGTGTGTATAGTTTGTATTCAGGTTGCTCCCTAGTATCCATCAGGTCTGGAATGTCAACGATAGACGCGTATAGAATGCGTATAAGACGCGTATACGCGTATAAGACGCGTATATTCTACCACCTCTTGTGTATGATTTCTGATCCTACATATTAGCGTCCTCAACTTCTAAGACGGGGTCATAATGAATGATAGCAACCACGCGTATGTCTATAATGATTTTCCCATTTATTTGAATACCATAGTCACTATGTAGAATTCCTGTCTCCATAGCTCTGCACGGTGAGTGACCAGTTCCTCATTTTAAAAGACGACAATAACGAATTATCAATTGATTTACATACCGTTATAAAGGGGTGATCAAAACCATCCTTAAAAGGTATACATATGGAGACCTTACAGTGGCGTAGCCAGCAACTGCCCTTTTTCATTCGAGTGCCCCTTTATTCGCAAGTGTACCCGCCCCTCCAATATTTTTAAAGATTGCCCTTTTTTATTGTTAAACACTGCCCTTATTTACAACTAGACGCTGTAACGATATGACTTGAAGCTTTGCATGGCGGATGAGATAAAGTAGAAAGACTGCAGGTAACACCATTTTGGAGAGTAATCTCTTTTTGATGAAGTGTGGTACTGAAAAGAATCGGTTATTGAGTGTAGAACTCCCCGTTTCGCAAAATGTGCTCTGTCCGTCATCGGGAGGGTGTGAGATCTAACAAGTGCCTTTTGGGAAATTTTGCGCGTTTGCCTCCCTGAAAGACATCATATATTGTCCGATAGTGTGTATGATTGTCCGCTTTGAACAGCGCCGTCATTGAAAGATGGTTCCAGTCCGCCCCCCCCCCCTATTTTATTATACGGAGGCCAAGTGTCCAAACAACCTGTCTACATTTCAGCACGAATGTAAGAGTGCCTTTTTCAAGAAATGAATACCCCTATTAAGAATGACCTTGCTACGCTTTTGCCGTACATGTGTATTTTTAATGAACCACATAAAATAAGGAGACAAAAAGCCAAGCTGGTTTGGGTACATTGATGGAGAACCATTTACTCTAAGGTTTTTAGGCCGGACCAAATTGAATTGAACAATTCTATAAGGCCAAACCACATAGGCCTACAAAGAGTCTACATTCTAACTAGAAAAAAAATAAGAGAATCCTCTAAAAAATATATACCAAAACAACTTGATTTGAATAGTTACTTACTGGTAGAACGATTAGTTACAGTAATTGTATTATCAGGTACATCAGTATTATTTTAAAAACATATATCAATTGATTGGCAAAGCCTTGAAAACTTTTTTTCTAAATGTTAACCTTTGCTCAGGTAATAGGGTAATACAGGCTTGGAATGCCTCAGATTTCCAGTCCCCCATCATTTTGACTATTTCACAAGGAAGGCCAAATTACAAAACCCAAGTCGCCCCTCCTCTGCAATAACTGTGAGTGCTAACAGTGATTGTGGGAGGTGTAGTTTAGTAAACAGCTTGGAGAAAGTGGTCTTGACTTTGGAGGGAGAAAAAGGCTTGTAAGCTGAACTTTGAGGTGTGATGAAGGCAGGCCTGGGCTATCGCAGTGTACATTTGGAATTACAACATGTATTTCAATTTACCATAATGTAGCTTCATTTGAAATCTATTGCCAAGAGTTCTAAGTTAATTCCTTTTTGGGTGTCTCGCAATACTCATACGCCAAATTGTTTTTTGTTTCGATGACCCGCTTTTGCCATTCACCTATTGTATTCAAATGTTTACATGTACAATGTCGCATTACACCTTGTGAAACATCTTAACTGATACTTCGTCAGCCACTGCCAGCTGCCCATCTGGCGTGAATGTAATTCCTAATGGGTTATGCAAACCCCGAACGAGGCAGTCAAGAAACCTGCCATCTAGGTCATAGTGGTGAATATGACCTTTGTAACGGGGCCCCAGCATTGTAACATATATACCGGAGCTATCAGCGTATACATCTAGGCAGTACTTTGCTGGTTTTCCGAGGATGGTTGGTTCGATTGTGAAGAGTGTATAACTATTACCATCAGTAACGGCCACGAATGGTCTAGCTCCGTAATTACTGATTATAACTCGATCCTTGTTGTCAACAGCCAGCTGGGCAGGGCAAAGTTTTACTGGTACGGTACGTAGAAGCTCACCATTACTAGGTTTGTGTTCAGTATACACCCATCCTTGGTCATAAGTAACAAGGATTGTACCATCCTTCTTGACCGCTACACCCCTGGTCCTGGGAGAGTGGGGCTTACCGACCTCATCTGCTGGCACCGTTGGGAACTCGTATGCCAGCGAGTTGTCGCTGTTGAACACCTTCACCTTTGGATCGTAAGTCTCAATAACCACGAAGCGATTGTGAATGGGTTCAACTGCAATTCCACGTGGACCTATGGGGATTAAAGATACACAAAAAATACAGTTATTGAAATCAAGGAGGCCTGCTAGTCAATCTTCAAAGAATCATTATCTGAACTAGGCCAAAACATTGACCGTGGGCAGAATTATTTGCAGGCATACTCACATTTTTGAAGCTGTATTGTACTTTTCTGTTTACCATCGATGCTGAAGATAACAACTCGGTTTCCATACATGTCAGCCACAGCGATCTCATCATCACGTGCAGCGATGGCAAGATAACAGCTGTGTGCACAGCCCTCAAATTTAATCTCACGAAACAGCTCCCAATGGCCTCTTCCACTGCTAACCTGCAATGCGAGTCAATGACACAGCAATGTCGTTCAAAAGGACTAATCGGGGGATGTTCCACATTTCAAAATTCGAATCGAATATTCACACAGAAGCAGGTGTATTTCTCCAACTTACTCGCTTGCCACGTCCAAAGATCGGCTTGATAGGACCCGTTGTTGGTTCCCCTCTGATCGCCTCTTGACCTGAACTCCCTGCTACTTCAGTTGTCTTTTCTGCCTGAAACAAAATATCCACTTACTTTTTGAAAAAAAATCATTTGCAGTGTCACCCAGTGAGGCTTCGCTGTAATGCTCTGGGCTTATATCAAGCTTATCGATTGTGGTTCGTTTGAATTACTGAAGGACTGCAACACCATTTTTTCCTGCAATGAAATCTGGCAGAAACTGCATGATGCACAGGACAGAGTTATCGAACGTTCTGGTGTATTCTGGTGTATTTCTTGTTCCGAATGCTGCAACACTGCTGCTTTCTTGTTAGCCCCGGGTTGCGACACGACTTTCATTTGCCGGTCCAAGAGAAGTCATCCTTGAGTCATCTTTGCACCTGTCTCACTCACTGACGCCCTGACTGACCCACTGATTGAGTTGATACTGACGCCAATAATAGGGTTGAATGCTGCCGGATGTGTAGAAGAGGCACATGAACATACTTCTGTCCAATAGCCATTTTGAGTCAGTCGAATACAATTTGCAATGGGACCATTGTTACTCGGCTTGACTTGACTTTGTTGAAATGTGCACCGACATGAAAATGACGACATACTTGATATGTTTTACATGAAGTTTCAAAAAAGTGACCGTCTGACCATTTTTCAAATAACTACAAAACCACGAGGTAAATTTTGAAAATGTTTGGTTGTGCAGATACTCCTGTACGCCTTGGCTTCAACCCCTATGTTTCATTTAGTTTTAATCACGCAACACTTCGTAATTATCAATTGATCACAACAACATATTTGGACCCTGTGACCAAATTCGTTGCCTTAATCAATTTCAGTGCTGTGTAATGTAAGCTGTGTAAAATCCTGCATGATGTAAAAAGTGCTTCGGTTGGAATTTGAATCATTTACTTACTTTATCAACCATCATGACAAGACCTCAGTTTAATGCTCAAGGGCAAATGATTCATCTCCAAAACCACATCAGCCTTTTTTTTTCAGAACATGCAGGCTTTTTACAATTGACCTCATGTTTGTGTTATTATTTTAAAAACACTCTGACTGACACTTTTTGGGACATACTGTGTAATAGTATGTCAAAACTAAAAAGGATTTATTTCAGGGATCTATTTCATTGACGCTTGATAAAGCTTATTAGGCATTCTTTCATATATTCATATATTTGGGTAATTATCTGTCTTACCTGTTGCCTGATTCCCCTACACTTGCAACATCTAGGTCTCTTGCAAGGCATCGTTGGACCAACTGTTGGTTCGTCATTCATCGACTCGACAGTTGCAGTCTTTCCTTTTCTAGTTGCCGTTTTTCTCTAATGAAAATGAAACCTCATGATTATTTTTAAAACATGAGCTGAAACGTCATTTGTGCTAAATTAATTCCAGTTAAGTTGCAACAGTGTATTCTTAGCTAATAAAGCCTCGATCGGGTTGTCTAGCTATTTTCTTTGGACATATATTACTACACGTATTACTACATTCTGCTTGTACCCTTTCATTCTCTGAATGAAGGTAAGAAACCTAATTCTGCTATTAAAAACGATATTTATGTGTCTCTATGTGTATCTTACCCGTGGTCCTCCCCGCTGGCCACGTCTCTTGCCAGGCATGCTTGGTTCTACACGGTGTTAGTTTAGTGTGAGTGCAGCTAAGCAAGTCTACGGGCACGCTCAGACATATCACCAGATAATGAAGTAACAGTTCAAATTTATGATGCGTCATTATGATGCGTTGATAGTTAAATATTAAACCCATTGAACTTTGTGTATCAATAACAACTACGTAGTTGAGTGCGCTCACAACACACAGGTAATGGATCGTACCTTATCTTTGACCTTAAGCTTTCAGACTTTGTTCATTTTAAGCTCACCAGATGCATCTAAACACATGCCCAGCCACTGGGTCATATTGGCCACCGTCGCTATCAATATCTTATTTCTTCCAAAGTGAGAAAGTTAATATATAAGGGCACTTACTCTTGAATTCATGGGTTATAAAACTGCAGTCGAATGGGGTAACCTCGGTCATTTTTAGGCATATTTAACTATTGCTTTTATAACAAACTTGGCAAATTGGATTGCCCCTAATATAAGTTTTCCCGGCTATTTTTAAACATTTGTTATTCAAATTCACCATCTCTAACATTCTTTTTCGTCCTAAAAAACTCACAGGCTTTAAAAAAAAAAATTTAGTCATTTGCCATTCAATTTCTAAGTTTGGTCACCCTCTTTATAGTCACCGGGTCGAGAATATTCGTCATTACAGATCAAATTCGTCTAAGCTGTTGCAGCACTCAGAGATTGAATTCGTCTTATATAAATCATTTAGACGAATTTGATTACTGAATAAAAAAGGTTTGGCGTAGACGAGATGAAATCGAATACTCCGGGACGAAAACGTGTGGTCGTTGTTTGAATTTGCTTAAACTGAATTTGAAATTGTCTGACAAAAGACAAAACGGAAGTGCATTAAATTGATAGTGATGGACGAATTTGAATATTTGAAACGGTGAGTTCGAATGATAACCGGTTTAAAATAGCCGGAAAAACCTGTATTTAAAACATTTAGACTAAACTCTACACTTTGATGTTGTTTGGTGTCAAAACATAGTATTTAACAAAGGGGTGGGGCCCAAAAACAGATGTGACAAAATTTAATTTCCGTTTTGGGGCAAGTTGACCAGCCCTAATAATACCGCTGGACAAAACATTTCAACATTTTTTTAAATTGTTTCGTTCCAGGTGAAATATAGAAAAAAAGGAACATTTGACCCTATATTTCTAAAAAAAATCCGAGTGCCTCTTTGATTGTGATTCCTTGTTGTTCCTTGACCTCTGACCTTTGACTTCTTGTAATTTGACATTACATAATTATCCACTTCAAATCAACAAGTGCATTACACTTTGCAGTGGCATTTTCTGAAACTAATTATATCAAATTTACTGACGAATCTTGTTTCACAAATATTTATATTCACTTGTAACTAAAATATAGGTGCTGACCAAAGTGACCCTACTGACCAAATATATCCCATTTAATTCATGGGTTACTTATTACACATCCTCCGTGAGAGCATTTGGGCTGTTTTGGATTTCATCATGAATGGCTCAAGAAGAGCGCGCCACCGCTTGGAAGGATTTCGGAAGCGCATGATTTTGCGAACCACCAGTAGCCGATTGGAGAGTCAACTTTGCGATGGAAAAATGTGCCAGATAACGACGATGGCAGCATTTTTAACCTTTCGTATTAGAGTTTACAACATGCAGTTTCAAAGTGTGATTGAGATGATTGGTACCTAATTATCAAATGGGAATTATTATTAATTCCCATTAGAAGTCCTGCATTTCTGAGTTGTGCCTTTGCATGCCGGGTTGCCTACATTGTTGTATTATCAAATGTAGGTTTGTACATAAAGTTATACACCGGAGTATACAGGGTGAGTAAAAACAAAAAGGTCCCCCAAAAAGTGGGTCAAAAAAATTACGGGGTGGGGTTCGGGGCCCGCTTAAGGGCCCCGAAAAGTTTTGGATTCTAGATGGTCTGTGGTGCGATCTGAGGCAATTTCTGACCACTTTAACCAATGTTTTTTTGAGGAAAAGATGGTGGTGTACTCATTGCCTGCCTTTGTGCGATGTCACATAAAAAAATTGGTTTCGTTTTTGGGGGGCTGGCCCCCTTTGCCCCCCCCCCCCCGATCCGCCCTTGGTACTTTTTAAGTTTCGAAATTTTAAACGCAACCACTGTTTTAAAGTTCTGTCCACGGATCACAAAAAAAGGTTTGCGTTCTTTCGTTAGTCCGTTTGCTAATAGTTACAAGCGTTGACATTGTCTATTGCCCCTACATGTTTCAACAAATTTTTCACCGAACTTTGTGAAAATTATCAGTAGCCCAACCTCAGCATGTCACATGACCAAACTGGGGTTAAAGGTCTTCATGGGGTCAGGGTTGTTGTTTTTTTTTTTTTTTTTATCAAAACACTACTCCGTCCAGGAATTACATTGCACATCCACATGAATCATGCATGAACACGAATTCGTTGACCCGCAGCTTCCCAGATATGTCCGATCGTGCTTGCTTTATTCCATGTTCTGTCTTTCAAAACGACGGGGCTCACTTGCAGGATAACTAGGTGCTTACCACTGCTTACCAAAAACTAACCGAGTGCTTACCTAGAGCTTTCAATAAAGGGAGCTAATCAATTGGCAATATATGTACAGAGTATTTTCAGAGAACAAGCTGATTGTTTATCTTTTTACCAGTCACTGCAACCCCCCCCCCCTCATGCTATAACTTTCCCTTTGACCTTCGCCATTCTTCAACAGTAATGCTTGTGTAACACTGACCCCAAGGAAAGTTGATTTACTGCAGTGTTGGATAACATTCAATTGATTCTAAGTTCTAAGTAAAAAAAAAAATCAATAAAATAAAACAACAACAACGTAGCTTCACTGAAACCAAGCTTGGCTACACTGAATAGCTTCATCATTCGACGAAATTATAATTCAATACAGAAGGTTTTTTTTGATTTATCATCCAAAAAAACGAGTAAGTTTTACTTCAGCCAAGCAGAAAATAAGTTTTACCGTGGTGACAACTTTCTATGCAGCGCGCCCTCTTTTGAAGGAAATTGTATTTGGCTTCAAATCGACTTTTATTGTTCGCGCTAGAAACAAACCAGGACTACATAGTTTTTTTTTTTTTTTTTTTTTTATTTCTTGACAATTTATCGTCCGGAAATCGAGTGTTGTTTGTGTTCCATGCATGTTGACTTTGATAGGAATCGTAATTTCGTGTTCAACACATCTACAGCACATTGTTTTGGTTAGCCTAATTTTTTTTTTGGTTGAGGATTCCTGGGCCTATATTTCGAACATTCATGGGACGAACCTTTAATTTGTTACAGCAGATATTTCTTGGGTTACCGTCCGACAAATCGGTGTGTTGCTTTCGTTCTTTGTATGTTGGCTTTAATTGGGATCGCAGTTTTCAAGCGAAACATACCGCATTTTTTGGTTATAATATAGGTTTTCCCAACTATTTTCAAACGTTTATCATTCGAATTCACAATTTCTAATATTTAAATGTGTCCACCAATATCGATTTAGTGCACTTCCGATGTTTATTTTTTTTCTTTTGTCAGACAATTTCAAATTCAGTTGAAGCAAATTCAAACAATGAGCACACGTTTTCGTTCTGGACTATTCGATTTCATCTCGTCTAGGTCGAACCTTGTTATTCAGAAATGCAATTCGTCTATTTGATTTATATAAGACGAGTAGGATCTCCAAATCCTGCCATTCGGCATTAGCTTGGACGAATTTGACCTGCATGCAATGACGAATATTCTCGCCCCGGTGACTAAAGAGGATGACCAAGCTTTGAAATTGAACGGTAAATCACTAAATTGGTTTTCTTAAAAGCGTGTGATATTATTTTTTCGTGGACGAAATGGAATGATAGAGTTGATGAATTTTAATGATAAAATATTTTAAAATAGCAGGGAAAACCTATATTGTTGTTGTTGGACTATTTTCCAAACTTTGTTGTTGCTTTACAACCAATCATTCAACGGAATTGTTATTCCATATAGCGGGTGCTTCTTGCTTTATCGACTAGAAAACGAGTGCGTTGCTTTAATTTTTTCAATAAGGAATAATAATAACATATATATAAAAAACTATATATATATAAATATCGAAATGAAATTAGGCTACTCATTCATGACTCGTAGATTTGATCAAAAAGCCGATCAACACAAATTCAAACTATATTCACAGGTGTGACACAGCGAAATCGGTATGGCAACCAGTTTGAATGGGACAGTGACCCAGAGCTACAGAATGACCTTATAAGGCATGCAACTCGATGAATGGCGCTTACTATGACGTATTAGTCATTCATAAACTTGTCACCGAACCCAAGGCAACGATTCGGTACACTGCACCCACACAAAGAAAAACCCGCCGTAAATAAAGTATGCGTCAAGCACCGTCTATTTTGATAGTAATCGCGTGCAACTGATGTTCGGCAGTACATGTACTTGGCGTACAGTTTGGGACTGGACGGTGTCATGATCAGTTATATTACAAACAGTTAACAAGAAAAGAACTGAGTTAAGCGTTCTTGGTTTGGTTTTGTAGAAGAACTTTGAGAAGGAGAACTTGTGTTCGCAAGATGGATGCGGCAATTTGTCTGATGATTGCTGTAATTCTTACAGCAGGGGAAACTTGTAAGTTCACATTTTTGAAGGTTTGTAGTCAGTTCTATAGGTTTCGAACGATAGACGCTGCGGAAATATGCCAAATCGTTTAAAATTCACAGATATACGCACTGGACACCTTTCCCATTTTTCTTGACAACATCGTGTCAACTATTGCGTCTTGAATAATACTCGTCGTTACTTGCTGTTATCAAACCAACGTGTCTTTCTTTTGCGCCTTCGTGAAGTTTCCGCGTGTCGTAAATTCGTTTGAAATTCTTGTTCCCCTCTTCAAGCTGACATTCGTCCGACTTCAACGAATACGAACGTTTATCAACAGGCAAGTATGCACGGGTTTTGCTTTTTGAAAATAAGTAATTAGTCAATAATAAATGTACCATTTGTTGTTATTCCAGTGAATGCAGACCAGTGTGTTTCCAACCCGTGCAGCAATGGCGGTACATGCTACAACGAATACGAGGGGTACGGCTGCCTGTGCCCGGCCGGTTACAGCGGGCCACGCTGTGAGCAAAGGCAGAACAGCGGAGGTCAGTGTGGGTTTTTTTTTTCAAATTTGAATATCGTAATTTTGTTGTACGTTTAGCGCCTGATTCACCCTGCAAAAGGTCTATGGAATATTTTCTTGCACAGCAAGGGTCTATGATAAGCGAGCCGATTTGGCAATTAATTATGCAAAAAGCTGCGTCTTGACCTCGGGATTCTGAATTTTCAGCGGGCGCCTTCTATCTGTTCTTCGGTAACCCGTTGGTGTGTGACAAAACCTTTCATAAAAATCAGCCAATCCACAGCTTAGACCACATGTTGTGATTGAATCATTGAAATTTCGTCACAGTCTCTAAAGACCATGCTGTGGTGTATCCCACGTTTGTACCGTTGCTCTGCCTACGTAAATGTCTGATCCTCGAACTAACCCCCCCCCCTCCTCCACCTCTCCCCCACCCATCCCCAACCAACGCTTCGAAAACTTGAATAGTGCAAGTAATATGACAGCACGATGTTCTTATCCTTTTGAACAGGGAGGTTGGGTTTCTGCCCTGATATCACAAATGACAGGGTCGGGCTGTGCGTCGAGGATTGCACGGACGATTCGTCCTGCCCAGCCCCGCTGAAATGCTGTTCCAATGGATGCGGCCACGTCTGCACGGCTCCGGTCATAACAGGTGAGTTATATTCGCTCTTTAGTATGATCAGTATCGCCAATTAGGCCATTTAAGGTATAGAGAATCATTTGCATTAATCCCAAAAGAAACCCACCAAATCATTAAAGATCGGTACTGGTACTAGACACCCTGTGAAATTATTCCGTCTGGCTTGCTGTCATTTCAAATTTAGAAAAGTTTACGTTTTTGTTAAGATTTTCCCCCACCCTTTTTTACTTCCGGTGTTAAAGAAGTGCAGTTATATTAAAAATAGGGATTTCAATTTTAAAACTGTCATTTTTTTTTTGGGGGGGGGGATATTTCGTTAAACCAAATTGTTAAATCAAAAACATTTTGGTAACAGCGTTAAATTGTGGTTGTTCAGTTTCATTCCAGTTTCAAATGACACGTTCTATTCTACAGGAATTTACAACTGGAATTCACTAACCAACCGATAGTACTTTGGAAAAGGGAATCCAAGAGCGGATCAAGAACACAATTTGTTGGGGGCCAACAACTATTGTTGTTCCCAAAAAAAATGTCCGAACAATTTACGGCGTGGGGTTCGGGGCCCGCTTAAGGGCCGGGAATTGTTTTGTTTTTGTTATTTCTGTTAGATTCTAGATTCTCTGTTGTGCGATCTGAGACAATGTTTATTTCTGACCACTTTAACCTCATTTTGTTGAACAAAGAATTAAGCCTTTTTTTTGCGACCTCAATTCAAAACAGCAATGATTCTTTATGGGGGGGGGCATGGCTCCTGTTCCCCGCCCCCTCCCTGGATCCGCCGTTGAGGGAGTCCAATTACAATTATACACACAGTCACTTTGCGTGAACACAAAGTGTTATTAGCTTTTGTCATATTTCCTTTCAATGTTGTGTTTATTTATAGAGGACATGTGCGGCAATGGCGGCACGTGCGTATACAACACCACTTTTCTGACCACTTTAACCTCATTCTGTTGAGCAAAGAATTAAGTGGTGTACGCAGGGGCTGCCTTTTTGGCGACCTCACTTAAAAACCAAAATGATTCTTTGGGGAGGCGGGCACGGCCCCTGTTCCCTGCCCCTCACTGGATCCGCTGTTGAGGGAATCCAATTACAAAGTGTCATTAGCTTTTGTCATATTTCCTTTCAATTTTGTGTTTATTTGTAGAGGACATGAATTGGTGTATGTCCAACCCGTGCGGCAACGGCGGCACGTGCGTTTACAACAGGCATGGGTACGGGTGTCTGTGCGATGCTGGTCGATTCGTCGGCAGCCACTGTGAAGTACCTGTTCTCCAATCCCCATCACCATCGTCGTCATCGTCGTTTCCTTCATCCCTATCAACACCATCAACGCCATCGATATCACCATCACCACCAGCAACATCGTCGATATCACCACCATCTTCATCATTGTCTTCATCATCAACATTGCCAGGTTAGCGTCTCCTTTAAAATAGACCATGTGGTCTATGACGTGGCATATTTTGCATGCCATTTGGCCCACATTAAACAGTATGGGCCTATGTCAACACTAGTCTTTTAAACATCCATATTTCAAGAGATATACACGCAGTGCAGAAGAGAACCGTTTGCCTAACGTTGGCATCACGTGACCACAATATCCAATTTTGAAAACAAATTTCACCCAGTCTATTGACCTGAAGCATAATGACGTCATGCTTTATTTACACGTGCGCTGTCTTATGTGAGTTTGGCGGTTCTGTCCCAGCCTCACTCTCATAAGAAATCGCACATGTAAACAAAGGGTGATTACATCATTGTAAAAGTGATTCAGATCTATCTGGTACGACCACAGCCTCAAAACTCGCGCCGTGGATTAAAAGTCTGACACCGGCTTGCGCGCTTTTGACCAAAAAGTTGCACCCATACATTCCGTGGAGTGATAATTTCTTGAACAACGCAAATGTATTATATGAAATGTTCGCCTGCGTCGCAAGATGCACTTCTGCCTGCAGACATTTAATTCATCCTTAAGTCCATACGGCATTTGGATTGGTGCGACACTGGAAAGCCACTCTGAACGAAACGGGCGTCAACTGCGTTCTGAGAAACCCACTCATAAGATCATGCAAGATTGCAAAATTAGTGTTTTCAGTACGGTGAAGAATATAAAGTGTGTTCAAGTTCATTAAGATCGAGTAACTTTCAAGTCAGGCCCGGATTAAGTATTTCGTAGGCCCTAGGCATCAGTGTTCCGAAGAATGGAGAAGGAATCGGAAAGGAAGAGAGAATAAGAACAAAGTGGAGAATGTAAATAATAAACATCGCTGCTTAAAACTCCTCGAAGCTAAAATCCGGTTCTGAAACCCATGCCAAAAGATTGTACATTCTGTCATGTCGGCACAAGCTGCAGCGCGAAGTCGCTTCATATACGGGGGTTGACTGCTACAACTGTGCATATAAAAAAATATGAAAATATAAATAATCCACTATAGGATTTAAAGACACCCCCCCCCCCCCCGCGCTGATGTCTGGGATCAGGGAACAGGCCTGAACAAGGTATGCGCAAAGGTACTGAGCATGTACATGCAGTTTTGCGACAATAAAATAAAAACATTATAGCTGGATTGAATTTTGTATTTTCGAACAATTTTAAAAATTAATTTCGAACGATTAAAATACAAGCTCTCAAAATAACAAATTAATCATTCTTGCAATTGTTCTCCAATAGAAAAGAAAGAAAATAAAACAAAAAGTTATGTGGCGATGGCCAAGTCTTCAGGAGTCGGACTTATGACCCTAACTCAATGAGCCCCTTACCGACTTCCATATAGAACTCTTCTGGGACTCGGTACCCGGCCCACCACACCTCCTTCCCTGTCCATCCATGTAACTCGAAAGTCAGGCACCATAAAGGGAGGAAACGAGGTGGCACCCTAAGCCTTGCTGCCGAGTCAGCAAAAGAACCCCGTACCTATACGCAGATGCCAACCTGGACTTCGCAGACAGTCCCAACTTGTGAGTCAGCTTACCGACCGACCGAGCTAACTGCTGTTGGTAAATGACCACGGGAAATTAATACTCTTCAATGACAGAACTGCGGTCAACGAAAACCAAAAAAATGACACCATGCGGGTTCGAACCCCTAACCCTGGGTCCGCTGTCAGACAGCTTAACAACTATGCTGTTTCAGTAGGTGCTTTTCTCTTTGCGTTTAAAAACATAATCCTTAATTCCGCTGTGGGAGACTTACTCTGTGTTTCATAGCTGCGCGAAAGATGCATCAGCATCGTGCTATACACATGAATGCTGTTACGTAACTCTTTTCTACAATCATTCTTATGTACCGAGCAGTTGACTATTCAGAGTCACTACGAGTAATTAACCTCACCATGCTCGTCCTTATTCTGTCTCATCAATTATTGTTTCGCGTCGCGCGTCTTTCGGCCGACGCTGATATGTCGCTATCATTGAGATGATTTCTAGCAAGTTTCCCCCACCTCATTATATTTATATCAAACTACTGACCCATTTACAATTTTTTTACGAGGGAATTTTGTTTGTCTGATTCTAATTCAGCTCCCTTAGCTAGCTTGGGAAAATTCATTACCATTGATGTATACTCGCGCTTACATTTTTGAAAGCTTTTGTACTTTGTTTCTCCACTTTCTCTGCTACTAAATACATTTCAGTTTCTCATGACAAAAAAGTGGGGTAATTCAATAGCCCATCCCCGCGGTCAAAAAGTGTGGGGGGGTATACCCCCACCCCAACCCCACCCCGGGAATTACGCCCCTAATGACGGCGAACGGAGCCAACAAGCCTGCCACTCGCATGGTCTTTTTTTCGAGTCCGGGTTGCCATACGCCTTGACTCAAGTCTACGATCACGAAAAGGCCTTTGAGATGAAACAAAGCAAATCCATGAACCTTTGGCGACTGAACGATCTAAATTGGGGTCGTATTGTGTACAAGCGAGTATAATTTTTACTAACACCTGCACATGTAATACGCCAATCGGCGGCGGGAACGTTTTTATAACTGAGGGCATCACCAAACAGAGCCATTTTCTCAGATAAAAAATTTCCTTCAGTCAAAGAGGAGAAAATTGTGAAACTGTTTTTCATTTGCATTGCAAGGAATACATGTTACCCACAAGTAAAATTTACAACCAACATTTACATACACTTTTAAAAATGTATGCATTACATTTTAAAAGCGTATAAAGGAGCACTATTATTTCTTTGCGGGACAGTTTTCCATTTTGAGAGGGGCATATTTTGTTTTATTGCGAGAGGGGTCATTCGTGTTTTCGAGGGATAGTTTTCCATCTCGAGAAGGTTCACAATCTTGTTAATGCGCGAGGGGTGTTTGTGTTTTGAGGGCACATTTGCATTACAAGAGAGGGATCATTTTTAAACGCAATCATAATGCTTTCGTGTGCGCTTCAAGACAGTTTCATTTTCATCTCGAGGGGGCACATTATTTTGTGACCTATTGTGACAAAATGAGGAATTTCGCCCAAACCATGTTATGAGTAATCAACGCCTGAAGTTGGATACACTAGGAAAATCATGTAATAAGAACCGGAAAATGTCCCTGTCTAAAAAAAAAAAATTATAAAAAATCTGTGGCTATAGATTAGGCCTATTTGGGGTGGGGGTACAAGGACGGATCCAGAAAACACTTTTTTTGGGGGGGGGGGGGGGCTGTACAATCAAGCCAGGCCAAACTGGTATAGGTCCTAGCTCTCTGAGAGAGACCCTAAAACCTTTGTAAAACTTTTCTCTGCGCGTGTGTGTGTGGGTCGCCTATGTGTTTTTATGGCACACTGCGGTAGTTTCGTAGGCCTTCCCCCAAGTTTTCGTAGGCCCCCAAATTTTTCATAGGCCCCCTTTTTTTCCGTAGGCCCGAGGCACAGTGCCTACTATGCCTATTGCGTAATCCGGGCCTGCACGTTATTCCAATAACCTAGCCTAATGGGTCTTCCGAGTGGCTCAATTTCGACCATAATTATGTTGTTGTTGTTTTTTCCTCGGGAAACGTATTTATTCAGAAGAAACGTTTCATTTGCGTTTTACAATTAGTTATCAATAACGCTGTGGATAAGATTTTTTAATTGTTTTTAGACATCACCATACTTATTACATATGGAACAGTCTGATATCGATTTCATATCATCAAAATATGACAATAGTAAATGATGTCATAAATACAACAACAACAACAACGACAACAAAGGCATTTCGGGTTTGTGAATGAGACATGTGTCGATCTATTTGGGGAAAAAATAATCAATGTAATCAATTTATTTTCAGGAGACGACAACCCTGGTACCCCGAGGACGTCGCTGTAACCAACAGCTGCCGACGGCCATCATTATCGCTGCGGTTTGCAGTGAAATAATAATGTAGCGATACTGGTGTTCACCGGGATTTTCTTGTACCGAAGAGGTGAGTCGCCATGTCACGAAAGTTCTAGGGAAAATGGAAGACAGGTTTCCCCCAACCTCGTTCCCATGATGTCGAGCAGTACGCTCCACCACTACCTGCACTCTCACACTGGTATTGGATCATTTGCATATCCTTTTTGGGGGATACGTATGCAAATAAGGAATAGTCTGGTGCCTGCGTGTGCTTTACATCAGCGCTTGTTTTTGTTTATAGTGTCTGAGGTAAAAACATAATCAATTCGTCGCGGCGTGAGTTACGAAGCACCTTTTGTTTTTCATATTAAAATGTTACAATTTTTTATCCAGCAATATGCAGTATCACTTTTTCTAATAATATTATCAAATTGGAAAGAAAATGATTATTTTCGAGAAGGAGGAATTTTAGAATTACACTGAACATGAAAACACGTATCACTGTTGCAAATATAAATCCATTAGCTACTAATTGCGCTATCTAATCAGGATACAGGAAGCAAGTTCCCATCCCAGGACTTCAAGTTCCCATCCCAAAGGCTTCATCCTGCAGTTATCACAGTGGCGTGTTGATTTGGTTCTTTGAAATATATGCATAACTATGTAAACATTATAAGGGTGGTAAAACGTCGTCATGGTTTCTTTTTCACAGACAAAATTACCACTGAACTATGAATCAGTTTCACAATAACTCGCCTACGGAAATGAGTCGCCTGTGACAGAAAAAAACACCAATAACACCAAAACATCTGTTGATTTAATTTTGTGTTAGTGTATTGGTACCAGATTATCTTCAACAGTACAAATAAGACAAAAGAAGTACGTTTTATTGTGCTGATCGATGATACACTGAATGGTTATCGACTGATAGTCCGGTGATATTAAAAAGAACAAGAAATCACTATGTTGTTATTTAATTTTCCAATCATTTGGTTTATTTATGACACAGAAATCAAACGACCACTCGGACACCGTATCCGTGGACAGCGGGAAGCAGATCATAAGAAGGTCCGGAGACGGTCAGGAGCCTTGCTTACTCGGAACATGCACACAGC